TTTTAGAACTCAACCCTTTAAGTTCATAAGGGGTGTTGTTTCTTTCAAAGAAACGGTATTTCGATATATGTAGAAGTCCAAATTTTTTTTGTTCATCTTTTTCTATTTTTAAAGCTTTTATTTTTATACCCTGCGAATAACGTGCACCTGTTAATTTCGATCTTATTTTTTGAGTTAAAAGTGCGCGTTATAGGCCGGATTTTACGGTACTTACTTCTTGTTTGGGAAGAATATAAAAATTTGCAAGAATAAGTACAAAACTTTTGTTATCTAGCTTCTATAATTGACTCTGATAATAATATTGATGTTGAAGTTAAACAACAAAAACTGGCAAAAAATAGATGTTTAATCGATCTTCGAACTTTTTCAAATCAACATACGTAAGGAGAGATACAAAATTATTCCAAAACAAAAGTATAAAACGTCCAGTTTTGGCCTATGCTTCTGAGATATGGACCGTCTCAAAGAAAGAAGAGGCCAATATTGTGTGCTATTTGTGAGAGAAAGACCCTGAGAAATATTTTTGGTGGAATTAAAGAGGATTACTTTTGAAGAAGAGCAAATTCTGAAATTAACAAAAATTATAAGGACAATGATGTAATAAAATTCATCAAATTAAATAGAATTAGATTTTCAGGAAGTATTTGCCGCTTCGATATACTATTAACCCAACACAGTTGCGCACACAAGGAGGGGGGGGGGGGGTAAGGGTCCGGATCCCCTCCCTCACTCTTTATTTATTTATTTTTTTATTAATTATGATGCTATGTTTATAGTACGTAAAATTTGTTTAAGTATTTTCTATTAATAATTTATTTTATGAATTAATGCTAATTTTATTTATTCAAGAATTTATATTTTACTGTTTTTAGTTCCCTACGAACAGCAAAATCAGAAGAATATGTTCGACAGTGCTTTGGGGTATGATACGAGAATGGTGGACTTTTGACCTTGGACCTCTCCCCGTCTTGAAAAGTTTCTCACTCTCTCTCTCTCTCTCTGTGTGTGTGTGTGTGTGCCACCTTCCCAACATATAAGATCTTCAAACAAAAAGCTATGGGCAGTATAGCTAGAGGACGAACAAGTCTTCGACGGCTGGACTTCATTAACATTGATTTCAAGACCATAAGAGTATGGAACTGGCGTCAATGGAAAATGTTCTGTTGGGAAAATGTTCTGTTGTTGTTGTTGTGGCTAATGCCACCTGTCTCACATAGTCAGAACGAGGCCCACGAAATTCATCGTGGCAAGGGGCTAGAAGTACGCCTGTCGTTGGCCTTGGCCTTGAGCACCATACAGCTGACATTACGAATTAGCTCGGCGAAATTCTCCGAAGGGACGATAGATGGCTACACCACCTATCTCTACCTCTACAATTTAGACATGGAACTGAAGGGAAGAGAAATATTCTCCAGTCCTCTGCACTCGTGATTCAGGAAAATGTTCTGGAGAAAGCCAAGGTCCACCTGGGGCTGTTGAGGGCTGGTGATGATGATAAGAATTTATTTTAAAATTCGGAAGGTTTGTGGGGCCGCTGTAACCTAGTGGTTACGGTCACCATCTCGTGTGTGCTGTCGGGTCGTGAGTTCGAATCCCGGTGCCACGGAAGACCCTCCGTGTAGATGCATGTTAAATCTGTAGTGATTCGCGTAGAATCTGCATGGTCTTCCTGTCGGTGTGGTATTAGAAGAGTGGGGTACCTGTTCAGGTGTCATCCTTGTCATTTGACTGTGGTTCAGAATTTCCTGTTCCCTCACCAATAGTCCTGTATTACTTTGTATTGCGTTGTTTATAAAAACTCATTCGCTTAACAAAAAACACCCGTTATTGTTTCAATTGAATATTACGAATATCTGTCATTCTGTCTTCTTTTTTTGCCAAAAAATTGCATTTAAATAATTTTTTTTTTGTAATAACATTCTTAAAATAGTTTTATATGTAAGGTATTCTAATTCAACTGACACTAAATACCAAAAAATGATTCATTGATACCCTTTTTCAAAATCATGGCTCCGAAAGTAGTCACCTTAAGAGGAGCGAAACTTACCAACATATCAATTCAAAGGTATTA